TATGATATTATTGAATTATGTTTATCATTTTCGATAGCTAATATGTTGAACTGTATGATTAAACGAATACATGGGATAAGTTGTTTTATATTTTGTTTTTTTTTTGCGAAGGAGTAAAGTTATCACGAATAAATTAGGCTAATCACTATGACTTGTGCATTTGAAGAGTGCATTTAAAATAGTATTTTCCTATTTACATACCTGAGGTCTAAAATATAATACTTCGGAAAGTATCTGAACGGACATTTCAATGAACAGATCTATTTATTTTTATACACTCTCGTTAATAAGTACTAGGACAAAACAAAAGTAGCATAACAGAATTAGCGAATATATTAGTGAAAATGTGAAACAAACATTGTTCAATTTATGGATAACATTTAAATCAATATTAAAAGTCGTCCAAAATATATCATTGTACGGAACATTACATTTTCTTCAACCCTTTCATGGCTACGAACCCATATAGTGGGTGTTCGATTACATGTATCAGAAAATTCAAGGAAAGATTTTATATATCAGGATAAGACAGAAATCAAGAATGACAAAATTCCATTGAAGCATCGTTTTTTGTTTAAAAGAATTTGAGAACTAGGGTGAAAACTATCTGAAGCCAGGCAATACCCAAACAACCGGCAAGCAATGGATAGCTAAAGAGAAACGCTATAGTCACGGTAAAATCAAAATGGGGATCAAAAACGTATCTCGTAGAAAGTATAGAAAATTTGACAAAATTCGTCGGTGCTATAGAAATCTGTGTTACACTCTGTTCCACAAGAAAGTGAACAGCAGTATTTCTATAATATACAACCTCGAAAAAAAGAACTTTTGTACTTCAAAGTAGAATTAAAAAGATATTGTACAACCACCTAGTAGTGAGTCCATTCGCCTCCATTGTCGCCATTTGTCTGCCACATTCTTCGTATAGTTTCCATTAGTTTTTCTGCGTATTCGCTGAGTAGGGAGTGCCATAGCTTTTGGGTCCTGACTGATGGCTGCTTGACCGTGTACATGGGCTTCCCCTGAATGTTGGGTCCTACTTCATGTGCTGGGGGCGGAGACACGCAATGTGGGATGCCACTTCGCTAAAAACCCCTCGGTGACCCTCTCGGGCGTAGGGCTGGTGACGGGGACGTTACACATACACCGCGACCAGCACCGCCCTTGCCCCCCCACTCTTACTGTGGGAGTGCCCTTCTCTGGGGGGGGGGGGGCATTGCGCTCCCCCCAGGACGGCTATGTGCCGTCCCGCCACCTCCTCCCTACAGCATCGAGGGGTCACCACTCGACGCTGTCTTTTCGTGGGCCGACCGTAAAAGGAGGTGGTACCTCCAGTACCACCCACTCGGCCCTGGTTGCCCCGCGGACGACGCGAGTGGTCACCGTGGCTATGACCCCTTGAACTCGCGCCTCCCGAGGGGCAAGAGCTCGGCGGATCTTAAGTTAACCTACGGAAGTATTCGGAAAATAGATTACGGCAAACGGTTCGTAAACTAACGTCACGATACATTCGGAAAATTGCTTATGGAAACGAGCGCTCGGCGGTTCTTAAGTTACTCTAAGTAGAATCTTAATTACTCGGTCGCTTGTCCGCTCGGTACGGCCGCCCAGCCATAGTTACGCGTCCTACCTAATTCCCAGGCGGGGCTTGTGCACCGTTAGGCGTCGTTAACGGTAGTGCAAAAGAGAACTCTGTGAACGCGTACTGCGTTACGAACGGTAGTGCAACAGAGAGAGTAATAGAAAACCATGGACCTGAAGGACTGTGCATAATTCTGTGGGGGCAGGCCGAAAGACGGAAGGGGGATCGGCTTTCGGCCGCCATGAGACGGACTACTGGTGGTGTCCTCTACAGCCGGGTATAATTATTAAAAGCGGCGTCTTTCATGGCGTAATAATCCTGGTGACGCTATTGTGTGAAAGCATTGGAGAACAACTCACGTGTATAGCATTGTATATTATTGTAGTTCTAAGCAAAATAGTAAAAGTATTGTATTTGAAGGTGAAAAATTAAGAAGGTGAAAATAAACACGAATGATCAAATTTAAACTATGTTCTGCGAGAAATTGGCACGGCATAGATGGCACTACTAGTTGTCCCTCTCATGACGGCTGAACGGCTTCCCCGCGGCACCCCTCAGTTCTTCCCTCCCTCGTCCATAAGTGTACTTTATGCACCGTCCTTCAGATCCATGAGAGAAAACGGCGTGCGAGCGGTAGTGCGGAACAAAACGGCGTGAGTGCGTACGGCGTACGGTGTCGAGTCGGACTAATGCGCGTGCGCGATCGTCTGCTATACGTTCTTTCCGACGGCTAATGCCGCGTATTCATCTGAGCATGCGGCCCCGAATGAACACCGAACGAGCGCCGGACGCACGCCGAAGAAGCGAACGTGCGCTGATGTAGACGGTGAAGCGAGCACGAACCGAGCGTTCGGCGAACATTTGGGGCCGTTTCGTTCGTTGGCGATACGTCAAAGTGAGCACACTATCGGATGTAAGGTTGAATGTGTGTTGTAGATGTGAATTGCGAACCCCTCAACGACAGAGGATCGCTTGACTTCAAAATGTTTCCAACACTATTTTAATGGTTTCAATATTCAAGTTACAACAAAATCCAAAATGTTACTCCAAAAAGTATTCGATTTCGCGTGAAGTGACTCCTACAATAATGATTTGTTACATGCCAGCCAGTTATGACATGAGTTGCGGAAAACGCCTGGACATCGCGATTAGTCAGTAGTATTTAGTCATTAACAATAAGTGAAAAGAACCCTTGCTACTTCTATAGTTCCTTCCACGTCATTCCTTTTAAAATTTTTCCTATTTCTTTCTTTTAAACGCAATGGCAATTCAGTATACATAATAGCGACATACTGATTTCAATTTAACGTAGTATTTCACATAACAGCGAATTTTGAACAAAAGTAAAAAAATTGTAGTTCAAAAAGTGTCGAGATTTTAATGGCCTAGCCTTTTCGACCCAAGCTAATTTCTATTTTTCTGAACTTTCCTCTAAATTTTTATTTTTATCGAAAAACATTCAAACATTTCACTTAAGGAACGATTGTAAAATGTAAAAATTGTGATAAATACCCTAGAATTTCTTTAGATTTTTTGAAAGCATGAAACAGTAAAAAAGTTAGGCTTGGACATATAGGACCAATTTGCCTACAGAGTGTGAGAAAATATGTTTATTTACGGAGAGTTAATTATTTGCAAGGAATATTTCAAAGTAAGTCGATAAACAAAACATTTCTACAGTTTATACTGAGATCGATAATTCGATGTCAATTTTTTGCATAAGAATTTCAAAGTTGTTACTTAATTACATTTTTAATCAGTTTGTTGAACTTTCATTTTTTTTTTCTAATCAGATCATCTCGAGTAGTTTGAAAAAACGCGTTACCATTTCTTCTCTTCTTGTCGCGACTACACTTAAATTTCCAAGAATACCTTTCTGTGTACAATCCACACACCCATACAGTATATACATGTAATTCGTTTCGAGTTGATAAATAACTTTACATAATCAAAGTCATAAAAGTTAAAAAAGTATGACATAATATAGAGTATTTAGTTCTTGTAGCGATTGCTGCAAATTAATATAATACTCTATACAATTTAACACGATCTTATTTAATACCGAAATATAGATTTTTCTGCTCGCTGGAAGTTGAAAATATAAAACTTCATACGACTTTAAAATATTTAGCCTATGGTGGGCTTTATGTTCCATTACTTTTCACATCGTTGTATTCACCATACTTTTTACTAACAATCAGAACGCACATTCACCTGCTACTTCTACATAACAATTGGCCTAATCTTTTGTCAAATTATATATACGAGGTTACAGAATTATAGGTAACTTCGGAACACGATTCGGTAAATTCGTTTGTGTTGAAAATACTCTGTGAAGTCTTTCGGGAGTGTCTCAAGGATCATTTGAAATGAGGTCAGGTCGATCCTGGCCCCTCTAGATTATCAGGGCTTTTTCCTGGCTGTACGCCAAGGGTTACCATGGCAACTCATCTTAAACGTATACTACTCTCCAACTTTCCTTAGCTCGCACTTCTTTCTTCGTGGTTCTTCTTTTAGTACACCATACTTTTGAGTATACAGTTGAATCAAAGAGAATAATGTTCCTCATTATATACTAGATGTTTGCTATAGAAAGCACACTTATGGTCGGTTCGTTACCCCTGCTGAGCAGCCTATGTGTGTGATAGCGACATAGGCTACTCAGTAGGGGTAGCTGGAGGTTGTTAAAAGCTAAGGAAGGCGGCGTGCCTTTCCAATAGTTTAGCGACAGAATCGGTCTGGGTTAGGTTTAATCAAAGGATTTAATCAATTTTACGCTTTATCTTAAAAGAGTCATAATGAATATTCGAAGAATTTTGTTTAAGCTTTTAAAAATTGTATTGTTTCAGGCACTCCTTAGAGGAGCCTTGACTCAACAAAGTGCCGTTATTCTTGTCTGCATGGCAATTGATCGTTACGTTTGTATGCTGCATCCTCACCATTATCATAAGCACGCATCTAAAAAGGTATGTTATAAAAGCAAAATGCGTTTTACGTAATACGTTTTTCATTGATACACTGTGTTTATATTATATATATTATTTATACAAATTGTAACGTGTACAGAAGTTTTAATTTTGTTCCTACATTATAAATCAGTAGTAGTCTAGGCGCAGTTATAATTTCCATTAGATTTTGTATTATGTACACCCGCGAGCAAACTCGGCTTTCACTACGGGAAAAAGTGGCGTAAGAGAAAGGCCTAGTTTACCAAGTAGTAGGAGGCCCTAACCCCTACGTTATTTTTTCCCCTAGTGGAAGTCGAGTTTGCTCGTGAGTGTACATCTGAAATATTTCTCTATTGAGAACATGAATGAATCGTCTTAGTATTATACACAATCCAAGCGGATGTATCAAATGAAAAAAAGTTTCTTCCAAGGTTACCTTGAAAATGTTAAACAAGATACCAGCTGTTATGATACAGTGTTGCTGATACCGAGACAAGTTCAGTGACTTATGACGCAGGGCCTGGACATTGTCTTGGAAAGTAAAACTGCGTTTATGTCTGTAGAGTGATGAATTTATATATAATTATAATATATTACAACACGTACTCTCAATTAAGTTCCATGTAACATGTGGCCTTGATTGATTTTAAAGTTCCTCACATAAAATATTTCAGTGATGGAAAATTAAACGCTGTATCCCATCCAATGATCGGAGAATGTATCACTGAACATATTCGCTTCCACGATCATTTTGCATATTTCTATGTCTCAAATATCAACATAGAAATTCCATTAATACAATTCCTCTTAACCCTTTGGGCACCACGCGTGACTTCGCGCGAATAATGACTTTCGTTTATGTAAATGACTTCCCTTCTCGTTAAATGATTTTCTAATGAGGGTAGGTTGCGATATCTGCGATACGGATATTGATGGGTCTCATATTGTTTAGGATTAATAGAGTCGATTGTGATGTCAGCCCCGCCAGCTGCTCGTCCGCGAAACACGGCCCACGATCAGTCAGCGTCCCCGGTAATCGTCGACCGAATTCGGCTATTACCGGCTCGCGCGTCGTCGGTTGCTCGCAATCGTCGCCTAGACCATCTGTAGGTTGCCTCGCATGATTAACACGCCGTCTCTGTCTAACTGACGCGTCTCTTTGTGCGACAAGCGTCTATCCTTGTCGCACTCCCCGGCTGTTGTCATGCGAGGTGCCTACGTGACTTTTGACCCGGAAACTGATCTGGATTACCGTTAATCCAACGGTAATCGCCCCAGTCGACAATTAGCAGCCAAGATAGTTAATGCTCGTTTCTGACGCGTTTTATCTTTGGCCTGTATCGAGTCAGTCTATCGCTCCACGTCTTATTTCATTCGTTCGGCAATACAGGAAACGTAGACGCCTTTTATTGTATTATCGTTTTATTGTTAAAGTGTTGTTTTATTTAAATTGTATTGTAAAACAGTATGCCGTATTAACACGTTGACTGCAACAGTGAAAAAGGCCGTACGTAGCCAGACACACTTTATTTCGTTTTTTAAGTCATAAATTGTCGAAAATATTTGAGTTTAGTTAATAGAGGCTGTAGGTCTTGTTTTAAATTATACTGCGATATTAATTTCATGCAAACGTTTTATAACAGTGTTTAAATAATCCAGACACTTTTCAATGTACGTGTCACCCATATTTGGGTGAGGTGGCAGTCAAAGTGTTAAACATATTATTACAAGTCCAACAAGAGTGTTGAGACGACTTCAGCGAGCTATCATTGAAGGTCATGCATTCGAAGGATGTGTACGATTTGCATTTCTCCATAAATTAGGATCATATCCACTTGCACTTCGAAAGAAAATTTCATTTTGATGATCACGCAGCTACTGACTACCAATTCATGTTAATGCTACGAACTGATGAGACGTTTACATTTCTAGCTATACGCGATTTATTGCGAAAACATAAACAATGTTACAAGAGCATTCGTTTATGTAAAAGTAAGGGTTTATGAAATAATACAGTATGTGCTAGAATGAGTTCAGAAACGATAAGACATGCACGTGATGCAGCGATACGAAGATTATAATTTTACATTGATGTAAACGATCACCACTTCGAGTGTCCTCTGTAATGTAAGAAAGTTTATTTTACTACCACATTTGACCTTCAATGATAGCTCGCCTGTAATGTAAGAAAGTTTATTTTACTACCACATTTGACCTTGTATGACCTTCAATGATAGCTCGCCGAAGTTGTCTCAACACCGGCTATCACATAGCGATAAAAAAAACATAGCATTCCATTAAAAGAAATAGAGATGGCCGTAACACCGGCTATCACATCGCGATAAAAAAAACATAGCATTCCATTAAAAAAAATAGAGATGGCCGTGAAATCTCCTCTATGCCTTCACCCACACAGAAAATGTTTGTGTCACAATATGCCCTCCTCTATACCGTGTAAGTTTTGTATATAACATTTTTTCATATTATTACAAATAACGGCAATATTCAAAGTGGACATAGTTATTGCTCCACCCTGTATAAAGTATATTCAAGTAACTAAAGGTTCTACAAATGTTAATGTAAGTGGTAGTTGCGGAAGCTAGTTCCAGCGTTCTCGGTTTTCACACATTGAGAAATCCGGGGGCAGGTTCTACAGAGTATAACTTACTTTTAAAAATGCTTGAAAGGGACTTTAATACCCGATCGCAGTAACTAGACTTCTGGTATGAGTATGATCCGTGGATGAGCTATACGTGTCCCTTTTTATACCCCGAAAATCGAGCCTATATGTAGTGGAGGCCATGCCTGTTCTTCAACAGAATCAGTTTTCCAAGAAAATCTCGCCACCCCATAACACCCCGTGGGTAATTACGTAATGTAGCCGGATGCATTCCAACTCCCGATAGAGTTAAGAGGTCATTAGAGTATCTTTGTACGTATCAAGGTAAATAATGATGCGTTAATTTCGTACTTATATGTGGAATAATATATTGATTTATATAAAACCATTTATTGTTTTAGTATTTTTGTTTCATTTTTAGAAAACAATAATTCAGAAATATTCCTTCTGCATGATAAGTGTTAAAGAAACTCTCTCTGTGGGTGTATAAAAGTAAACAGTGCATATCAAATTCCTAATTAAATAATATTAAATTAATAAAGACGATACTGTTTTTACACCCGGGCGTCCAACAACCCAGGAACGACCCTGAACCTAAGATTTTCACAGACATTACACGTGTGACTACAAGAGACGGATGAGGTCGCCAGAATAACGATATCTTGTATCTGGCTGAAATACAAAATCAATTTAATAAAAAAGGTTTGTCCTGCAGGGTAAAATATAGTTCTCTAAGGCCAAATAGGTTAATGCCATTTCGTTTTTGATACGTTTATGGTTAAATTAAAGAACTAGAATCGTTGTTCGGTCATTCGAAATAGCTGATTCTCATGCAAGTTTTTGGGCTGTGCTATATCAATGAGTATGAACTGCTCCCATTTTTATAGACATCATCAATGTTTACTTTGAGAGAAGAAAAGATTCTTTTATCCCAAAAATAAATGTGACGCGGAAGTCTCGGAAGTAACTCAGGGAAGTCTATGTTACGTGAATGATCCCCTCGCCTGAGGTCGTCATAAACTAGATTATCTGAATTCTACTTGGATCGTTTTAAGAACTAGGTTGTCTGTTAGAAGATAGAAGGTCTAGTTCTTTCCGCTAGACTTCTTCAACTGGCGGGTATTATCGGGATTGTCTCATTCTTTTGTACAGCGCCTTATCTATTCGAGTCTACCTGAATTGTTTCGGATAACTGAAACCCTACCTTGTCCAGTCTCAAACATTTTTCAATTTTGTAACGTTCATACGCTTTTATTTGAAATTTCGGCTATTTCAGTAAAAGTTGACGAAAGCTATGCTTAAATCGGCTGAAGTTTCACTTATAGTTTTAGCTACTCGGGTGCGGTTTGGTAAGCGCTTTAGCAATTCGAACGAACTTATGCGTTAGAGGTATGCCAACAGCAAGTCAGTGAAAGTCGGTCAAGTTCGCTAGAACACGAACTTTAACTTTCCGCTTCTTACGCCCCTAGTAATAGAACACGAATTCTTTTCCCGTAGTGGTTACTGCTTATCGACAGGTAAGTAGGTGTGTAAAAATACAGACGAAGATTTTTAACCCTGTTCCTTGCTTTATGGGTAACCCTCTTTCATTTGTTCTTACTATATTGGAGTTTAATCTCGAAAGAAAGAAAAGTGTTGGACATAGAGAAATATGTAGAGACGACAGAACAGAAACATCCGTTCTAGTTTCTCGAACAGCATCGGATCAAGGGGGGTCTAGGGGCTTTGGCCCTGGGACCCACGTTCCAGGAGGCCCCGTTTTGTACCTTCCATTTTGTTGATTAAATGTTATTTCATTTTGTTCAAAATAAATTTCAATTTTTGAAGATTTAAGTATTTTGTTGTGTTGTATTACAAACAATCCTCCGCCATCCCACCCCTTCAAACAAGAGGGTCCCCGAAAATCTGATAACTCTGGACCACAAAAAATCTTAATCCGGACATGCCCTAAAGTTCCTTTAATTAAAAGGATAAATTACTATTGAATTTCTTTTATAATAGCATTCGTGTTATTTCTATAGTTGAACATTAAATATACGTATTTATTTACTTAATATAAAATGTCGATTGAGGGGCTTAAACAATTATTTACAAAGCACATTAAGGTGATTTATTCGATACATTACTTTTATGTGATAAGGACATTCTAAAACACTATCATTTATGGTGGAAGATCAATACACTAGAAATGTATGATTTCTAAATGAATTAATTTGGAAAAACGTTAGACTTTTCAGATGCGGTGTTATAATTCACATTGATTATGAAACAAAAATGAGTTCAGTTCTTTCTAATCTATATAATGCGTCCCAACGTATAATATGTACGTCTATATAATATGTCTGTAGTATGAATTCAAAGGGTTATAATCACAAAATTGTGATTAAACTATGTAATG